ATCATTAGTTATTAGGAAGGTACAAATTAAAACCAGAATGATTTGCAACTAAAACCAATAAAAATTGAAGTTTAAAAGATTGCTCATATCAACTCTCAACAAGGAAGTGAAACAATCTGGCATTCTCATGCACTGCTGAAAGTACTGTAAAATGCTACAGAAACAGTAGAAAATATTCAACAGGATCTTGATAAGTTCAGCATAACTAATCCATAAACAATTTGGGATGAAGGGCACAACTCTCTGTACATTCAAAATTGTGTGTGTAATTTTAGATTCTCCAAAAACTTTAGTCAGTTCTTGGTATCTTATCAGTGGTTTGTTTGGGTTAATTCACCCAACCCCACCACCTGATTTCTCAGGTTGGTGATATTTGCTGCATGAAAATGGCAATAGCATTTCAATCTTGTGCTATTCAAGAGTTAGAATGTACCTACCATTTCATTTCCAGACATTCATCCTAGAAGTACAACATACTTGCATCCAAAGATTAGTGTGTAGTTGTTCATAGCAGCTTTATTTATAGTTACCAAAGCTACTTAATTTAACATAGGCAAAATTAAGAAAGGCAAAGAAAAAAAATTGGTGTAAGGCTCTTTGGCTGCAGAGTAAGAGCAACTGAGGATAAAATGAGTGCAGGAGTATTCTAGAAAAATAAAAGAAGATGGGAAATAAGTTTCACAATATGTGAACAGAGAAAACTATAGGATGAGATCAAGAGGAGCAACATAAAAATCACTGGAGTTCCTGAAGAACAGGAAAGTAGTGAAGAAACATTAGTCAAAAAAATCATAGCTGATTTCTTGAGCTGAGGAGGTCCCAGGCAGAGTTGAGGAGTTTGTGCATCCAGAATCAAGAGGTCCAAAGGGTCCCAGCCAAAGGAGACCAAACAAAAACATATTTAAAACTTTACCAGTAAGCATGTACTTAATGGTTTACTAGTGTGCATTTAGAAGGAATAACCTGCTGGTACACATAATAACACAAACGCATTTCAAAATAAACATGCTGAGTGGAAGTCAGAAGAAAGGGACAACTGAATTTAATTTAATTTAAATTCTCGAAAAGGCAGGACAATATAGTGACAAAATAACTCGGGAGTTTTCTCAAGATGGGAGAAGACAGTAAAAACTAGTAGGAAACATTCAAAAGGAATAAAACAAGACTTTCATGACTTTCACATATACTTGATACCTTGGTTATGATGATGTATAATTAATTTGTATACTTTATATGTGTGCAGTTGTATGTCAATTTTCTTTCAATAAAGCCATTTTTAAGTAAAGGAAAATATATGTAAAATGCAAGCACTTGGGAATCTGTAAAGCATATAAAGAATTTTTTGCACCATTTTGTAACAAAAACTAGAATTATTTCAACATTTTATTGTTTTCATTTATTTTTAATTTGTTTTTGTGTCCTACCCAGCTGTGCTCAGGCTTACTCCTGACTCTGTACTCAGGGATTACCTTGGTAGTCTTGGGGAAATATATGAGGTGCTGGGGATTGAGCCCTGGTTGGTCAAATGTAAAGCAGGTGCCTAACCCACTATACTATTGATCTGGTCCCTATTTCAAAATTTTAATAGGTCAAAAGAAATCAATTCTCTTTCATTCAGTCTTCTCAGCTTTCATTCTCTTCCATTCAATCTTCTCAACTTTCTCATCAGTCACTGATTTTTTTTCTAGCATATTTCTGCACTCAACAATGTCTTTGCATTTAGTTCTCATTCCTCTTCTCATTTTGCCTTTCCATGCTCTCTCACCTCCCCTTAACTTCAGTGTCTTTAAGGGTGACTCTTCGAGTACTCCTGTTTTCTTGATTTTTTTTCTGATCCTTCACCACCAGTCTCTTTGTTCCATCAGTCTATTTACAAATGATACACATCATGTTAGGAATTTTTACTTCCGCAATATAACATCTTATTTCAATGCAAGAAATGCTTTTGTATTGTTCAAGTAATTCTCCTCTCATGTTTGTTCTGCTTTTACATTTTAAATGAAGTCAACTTTTCCTTTACCCATAGATAATCTTGCAATATGTGATAACCTGGTTTCTTCCCTCAACGTGAAATAATTTACCAAAAGTAAGTAAAGTAAAGGCCCTCCTGTTGATCATCGATTTGCTCGAGCAGGCCCAGTAACGTCTCCATTGGAGACTTTGTTGTTACTGTGTCTGGCATATTGAATACTCTCGGTAGCTTGCCGGGCTCTCCGAGAGGGGCGGAGGAATCGAACTCGGGTCGGCCGTGTTGGCTGCGTGCAAGGCAGACGCCCTACCCGCTGTGCTATCGCTCCAGCCCTAAATCATTTACAATCTGACTTTGGTCCTGAATAATATAATTTAAAGAAGTTTTGCTTATTTTGAAGCAAATAATTATTTTAATGTAGGAATTCTCCTATTTAGCTATCAATTATGCTGACTGAAGGAGGCATGAACTCCACATTGTTTTTTTTTCTTTTAATTTTTTAATTGAATATCCATGAGATAGATCATTACAAAGCTGTTCATGATTGGGTATCAGTTATATAATGATTCAACACTCATCCCTCCATCATTGCACATTCTCCACCATCAATGTCCCTCGTTTCCCGCCCACCATCCCCCAAGACTCCCAGCCTCGCTCCTTGGCAGGCACTTTTCTTCTTCCTCTCTCTCCTTTCCTTTTGTGCATTATGGTTTGCAGTACAGGTACAAAGAGTCCATCGTGTTTGTTCAGAGTGTTTAGTATTATTTTCAGGACAGTAAGGCTAGAGTAGCTTTGTAACTGGGTGACCGCTTTAGGGTGTGGTTGTAACTGCCAAGGCTTCCAGAAGTACAGGGATATGGGGGGAGGTAGCCAATTCTGACCCTGAGAAATACTGGAAATCTCAGTCACAAAACCCTCATACCTGAGTTTTCAGTAGATTATATCTTGGTGTGGTCCATTGTGAGATGGTGGAGTCTGGTGGGGGCAATCTGATTTTGGATTGTGGAAACAGGCGGCTGCCTGGGGCTCTGTTTGGGTAAGCACCAGGGTAACCTGCCTCCATCTCCCCAATTTACCTCAGTCTGTTCAGCCTTGCACGGGTTCAAGATTAACTGTCACTTGATCTCAAGATTTATTTATGAATCTCTGCTGCAAGGCTTGTAGTAGAGCTTATACATGGTGGTGCTGAAGTTGGTTTGTGGGGGTGACTGCCAGTGCTTCCAGGAGTATAGCGAAGAGGGGAGTAGTAGTCCATCCTGACCCCAAGAAAGCCTGGAGATTTCAGTAACAGAACCCACATACCCAAATTTTCAACAGGTTCATATCTTGGTGAGGACTCTCCTGAGACTGTGGAGTCCAGCCAGAGGCATAGCAGTGATTTTGGATTGTCGGAGAAAGTGGCTGCTGGAGGATCTGCTTAGGTGGGCACCAGGATAACCCATCCCCCTTCAATTTACTTCTTTTTCTTCAGCCTTGCACAGGTCTGAGATTAATTGCGGCTTTGATCTCTCTCAAGATTTCTTCTTTTTTTTTTTTAAATTTTTTTTTTTTTTGTCTTTTTGGGTCATACTCGGCAATACTGAGGAGGTTATTCCTGTCTCTGTACTCAGGAATTATTCCTGGTGGTGCTCAGGGGACCATATGGGATGGAATACTGAGAATTGAACCCCCTTGAGATTTATTATGAGTCTCTAAAGCAAGACTAATAAATGAACTTGTATAGCTGAGCGGGAGGTGGTTTTGGGTGTTGCTCCCACATACCTAATTTTTGGCCTTTTAATTTCTTAGGAAACTTGGTCTTCAGTTGTTGGGGTCCAACCAGAGTGCAGTTTTTGGGTATTAGGAGTCCTGAAGGCACCATTAGGCTGCTGATGCACTCACCCTGTGGATACAGGTTGACCTGCTGGCGGCACCATACCCTCTGAAGAAATAATTTCTAATGAATTATTAGAAATGATACTTTTGGCTAGAAATAAGGCTCATTCTTGCATGTGGCTGATGGTAGTTTAATCCGTGAGACTGCATGGTGGTGTCCTGAGCACAGAGCAGATATGTGCTCTTCCCTCAAAGAATAAATACTCTGTTGGGTATCTTATTTTATTTTCCCTATTTTTTTTTTATTCTAAAAATGCAGTCTTCTTCCTCAAGGAGCATTTAAATTCGAAAGATTGGAGAAGACATCTAGGACATCTGCTTCTTCTTTGTTTATGAAGGGGGTCATACCTGGTGGTATTCAGTGCTTACTCCTGGGTACATGTTCAGGGAATTGGGAAACCACACAGGGTGCAATAACTTGGTTACTTTTATGAGATTGCCAGGCATTACAGAACAGATTTTCTAATGTATAATCTCTGATAAATGATAAGTTAAAAATTCTCCTTGTATTCATTTTCATGTGGTAGAAATTATAAAAGGTAACTAATATTTTAGGTGCTAGAACTCAACCAAAATGCTCTGCATTCCTTTTTTTTTAAATTAGCACCTATCAATTAAAGAAGTATGTTATAGTATGATTTTACAAACAAGAAGTTGAATGGGGAGATTTAAAACATTACCCAAAGTTATAGACTTGGTAGAACTGAAATTCTAACCTAGGCATTCTGACACTAGAATTCACTCTCATTTCATTATGATCGGTTAGCTTCTTGCATCCTACTTTTCAAAACGTAAGAATGTCACGTAGAAAGTAACATCTCTAAATCTGTGAGTCCTAGCCTGGATTGTATGTTGGAGCCATCTGATTACTCCCAGAGACTTTTAGTTTTGTCAGCATGCAGGGTAGTCTGGGTTTTAGGATGTTTAGAAAGTATTTAAAGTACAGTTAACTTTGGAAACCACTGTCTTAAATAAGCATAGAAATGGAAATATTAATAGCAAAATCACTTTCTGTGTGTTTAATATAAAAGAGGTAATTCTGGTAAGTGCATGTTCAAAGGTATGAGAGTGCATATTGCCACAAAAATAATAACTTTGATTCAGTATGTCATATGTTACTAGGTTTTGCATATTATGTGTTTTGTTTTTAATACAGATGTAGCCCATGGTTATCTTGAACAAGGCATAACAGAAGAAGGTAAAAGTACAAAACCAGGTGAACAGCCAACTATGAATTCTAGGGGAAGCACACATCAGAATTTCACTGAATTAGTTAACGAAGCCAAATATGAGGGAGTAGAGCTGCCAGAACAAAGCTTAAGAAATTTTCAGGTCAGCTGTCCATCTCCAGGTGATGAGACAGATGACCACACTGCTGAGAATTCCAAGTGAGTGCTAGTAACTCTAGACTTAAAAAAGTAAGATTTGGAAGAATTCTTTCTTACTCTTTTCTTTTCTCCTTTTGTACTTATACTTCTTTGATGACATTGGCTAAATTTGATGTTTTATTACTTTACTACAACTTTGGGAATCTGTGTTTCCTGTTATTCCTTTTTTTTTTTTTTTTGGTGGCCACACCATTGATGCACAGGGGTTATTCCTGGCTTTGTACTCAGAAATCACTCTTGGTGGTGCTCTGGGGACCATATGAGATTCTGTGAATCAAACCCGAGTCAGCCATCTTTAAGGCAAAAGCTCTACCTGCTGTACTATCACTTCTGCTCTTGTTTCCTATAATTTCTATCACATTGATGCAATATGTCTGTATAACTATCTAAAATTCACAAGGTAAATTTTAATGAAGGCCATGAGATTTTATTCATCTCTGAGTAGTCTTTTCTGGGACTATTTATTATGGATCTGACTAAGTCGATATAAACAATATATTATTTATCAGACTCTTGAACTGGCATCAGCACCACAAAATAAATCCATAGGTATACTTTGGCTTTGCTAAGTATTGCTTTTTCATTTAAACAGTTTTGAGTTTTTTTTTTTGAAAAGCTCTCCCATTTGCCTTCCTTAATATTACACGTTATGCAGTCATTACCCGTACACCTTACCTGCCTTTCATATGAAGGTATTTGACTTTCACACCTGTGGTTAATACCTATTGGATTTATTTTGATAATTAGTCTTGTAACAGGAAATTATTCTTGTGTTTTTAAAAGTTCAAATATATTTTTAGCCCCAAACAAAATCACCTAGAATACTGTTTGATCAGTTTTGTATAAGAATACCTACTTCTAGTTATTTAAAATTATTTAGTTGTTATTAAGGAATGTTTAATGAAGTTGTCATTAAGGAATGTTTAATGAAGTTCACCTATTAGTATAGCCTTTCCTCTGAGAAATCAGTTATATTTTTGCTACAGTGCAGACTGAAATAGTATTGGGGATAAATAAAGAGGTGACAAACAGCAAAAATAGTGGCGACTGGACTGACTCTTTTTCTTTTCATTCCTTTGTACTGCTTACAGTAATTTTATTCTTTTCTCAAATATCATATAAAAAATAAAACAAAACCTTTTTACCTTGAGTGTTACAGAACAGATTTGCCCTGGAGTTGCTAAATGCTTTCCACAGACTTACCTCTTTCCGTTGATACATTAGCACCTCTATGAGCTTGATGCTTACTTTTTCATTCTTAGTATTATAATGTAGCACTGTAGCACTGTCCTCCCGTTGTTCATCTATTTGCTCCATTGGGCCCAGTAACATCTTCATTGTGAGACTTGTTAATGTGTTTGGCAAATCGAACAAGTCACTGGTAGCTTGCGAGGCTCTGCCTTGTGGGCGGGATACTCTCAGTAGCTTGCCGGGCTCTCCAAGGCGGGTGGAGGAATCCAACCTGGGTTGGCTACATGCAAGGCAAACACCGTATCTGCTGTGCTAATGTTCACATAATTACAGTTAAATTTGTCTCTCTTCCTCATTTGAAGTATAAACGTTATAGATCCTGTATAGACTTGTGTATGTATATGCTTAATCATTTTCTTTTTTACAGCATGATGGGAAATAGAAATAATGATGTGCATTATGAATGTATGATTCCTTCTCAAGTTACTTCAGACTTAAATACAGAGGAGACAGTAACATTTCTTTTGAAAGAATTGGACATTCTCAGAGCAAGCAATAAAAAGGTACCATATAGAAAGTCTGGTATTTGCACGATGTACTTTAAATATTGACTTTAAGTTTGTTTCTTCACACTTTGTAAGTCAGTTTTATTATATACTTTAATTCTTTTGTTTGTTTTTCTTTGTTTGTTTGTTTGTTTTTGGCCCACACCCACCTGTGCTTAGAACTTACTCCTGGCTCTGCACTTAGGGATCACTCCGGGCGGGCTCTGGGGACTATTTGGGGTGTCAGGATAGGAGACTGAACTCAGATTAGCTACATGCAAGGCAAGCACCTTACCAGCTGTACTATCTCTCCAGTCTCTACTTTAATTCTTCAACAGTAGCTTTATGTCACTAACATACTGTGCAATTAAGCACTGTAGCACTGTCCTCCCTTGTTCATGATTTGCTCCAGCGGGCCCAGTAACATCTCCATTGTGAAACTCTTTGTTACTGTGTTTGGCATGTTGAATACTTCGCAGGTATCTTGCCAGGCTTTGCCATGCAGGCGAGATACTCTTGGTAGCTTGCCGGGCTCTCCGAGAGGGGCCGAGGAATCGTGGAGGAATTGAACCTGGCTCGGCCCGCTGGCCACACGCAAGGCAAATGCCCTTCCGTACCGCTGTGCTATCACTCCACCCCATGCAATCAAGATAAAATTGAATTGAAGAATTGGCATTGAAAAACCTTTTTTAGGTTTCTTCCTTTCTGGACTACAATATCACTTCCTTAATAAATCTTCAGTACTTCGGATATAAGCCTTAAAAGTATTTTTTATTCAAGTTTTTTATTGAGTTAAAACTTAATTGCTGCATTTTTCCAATAGAATTTGTCGTATTTTATTCTTTATGACTGGCAGCATTCCTTTAATCATTAAATAATGTTCATTTTCCATGTTTTTTTTAACTTCTACATACTTTTCTAATTTTAGTATTCTAGTTGTTTAGCCTAATCAAATGAAGCATCATGTTAGAAATATTAATAATGTCTGATGGAAAACAATAAAAAATGACAAAAGCTGAGGATAAAATTAAAAATAAAACATTTGCAAGGACTTTGTATGAGAGTATGAGTTTTTTTTTGTACTTTCATTTGTTATTTATTACATGCCAATTATGAACTAGATGGCATTGCCAATTTAAATGGAATAGGATGTGATAGCATTCAAGGGGAGATTTATATCAGATTTTAAGATTATTATCTTAATTAATTTTGTTTCAAAGTATTAGACTTAGTAAGAGAATCCATAACTGTCCTTTATTTTATTGGGATAGTTCCCTTCCAAGTCCTCTTTAAGACAAATGAATAGATTAAATTGCTTTACAAATTATTTTTAAATGAAATATTGCTCTCTAATTTTATCGGCCCAATATATTGCTATATACTTTTATATACACATTTATAATCTATATTAAATGTTTCTATACTTTCTGTGATATTTCAGGTAATTGTTACTTTATAAAATATCTTAAAATCTTGGTTCCTTCCACTATTGCCAAAGATATATTTTGGCTGTTTGATGAAATATTGCATAAGGGCTGGGGAAAACTTGCATTTGAATAAATACGATTTGTGCCAGAAATTTGTCAGTCTGTGTTTTATCAATGTGTTATAGCTTCAAGAAAAACTCACTAATGAAGATAAAGAAAAAAGACTATTAAAGCTTAAGCTGGAACTCCAGGAGAAAGCGACAGAAGCTCAAATTGCTGGAAAAACAGCAGGTACAGTACATGAGAATTAGCATACAACATTAGGACTCACTACAAGAATTATTTTATGATGTGACTTGGTGAATACTAGCACACTAGCTTATTTGCCAAAGGAGGAAAATCTCCACCCCCCCTTTTTTTGGGCTGCTTAGAAAATAGGTGGCTTTAACATCCTGGTACTGGTATTAGTGAGAGCTTTACCTGTATTCATACTGATTTGGGCATTAAATGCATTGTTAACACCATGTCAATCCAATCACAAAAAGGTTGTTTGTTTTGTTGGAAGGGCCTGAACAAACAAGGGGAAATAATGATTACCCGTGCCTCTACCTTTCAACCAGCAGTTCAAATACCACTTATTGTTTTAGTTCGTTTGAGAGGAAATACTTCTCCTTTGTATGAAGATAGTCATATATTCATTGCCAGTGGAAACCTACATTTGATTCAGATATCTGTTTTGTGCCGCTAACAAAATTTTATTTGATGATATGAATGATGATGGAGATAAATATATTGCTATCCGAGAAAATTAAAGTGAAAGGTTGCTAAAGTTTAAGATTATAAATGACTGTTATAAATATACTTTGGGGTTTACTCTTACTCATAGGTCTATGCAAAGAGAAATTTTTAAAAAATATGTATGATACAGACATTTCAGTGTATTCCCAGTCGTCCATGAGCTCCAGATGTATATGATCTCTCTGTGACTGTCTTTTTCACATTGCTTTACTGTATTAAGAGAAATTGTGTGCAGTCATTGAAATTAAAATTAAAGACATTTTAGTGACCACTTATTTTAACATTTTTGTATCTATTGGAAGATTTTATGAAGTATAATTTTAATAGAAATTATAATCATACTTTATAAGTCACTTAACCTGGTTATATATAGGCGAAAATTCTGGTATTTTAGCTCACACATGATTAATTTATATGTACAAAGTACAACTAGACATCACTATGAAACTATAACTAAAATAACCATAAATATATTCTCAGGCTAAATACCAAATGATTTCTTCTCTAATAATTTTAAACTATCCTGATTTTTTTCCTCTTTTTCAGTTCAGTAATGTATTTTGAAAAAATTTAAAGTAAGTCAAAAGTGAACAATTTAAATATAACTTTAGAAAAATTTGTAAATTTCTTTTGATAATCATATATTCTAAACACTAAAATGGAGTTTTAAGAGCACCTTTCTATTAAATATCATAATCTTTTACTAAAGTAATTTAGTAATTTAGTAGAAATTTGTAATTATTAGAAAATGTAATTTTGTAGAATTTTGGCCTTTATAATTATAGAAAATTATGAATTGATATTTTTGCATAAGCCACACTATCTTGGAGAGTATAAGATCAAGTGTAGTATTTTACAATCAAGATCAAGTTTAATATTACATTAAGCAATAAAATTTAGTCTTAAAAGTTTTGCATAAAAACAGTTGTATATTTCAAATACTTATTTATTGGTATGTATTTGAGGGTTCATTTGACTAAACAGCATGAAATATATATGTATGAGAGAAATAATTTTTTATTTTTTTAAATATGTCTCACCATGACAAAATATTGTTTTAGTGTTATTATTTGAAAGAGATTCAGTATATTTATAGTACAGTCTCTTAAATTTATGAAAATAACTACTTTATTTTCTGAAAAAAAAGCAATTTAGCTAAAAATATAAAATCTGCCTATTTCCAGAAGTTAGAGAATGAAAGTTTTTTTAATTCTAAAAATGTCTTAGAATTTTTAAAAATTGAAAATATTCAAATTATATCTTTACTTTTTTATATTTTAGTTCTATTTTATCAAAGTGTTAAGGTATTTTACATATAACAATCATTATTATGTCCCCAAAAGATTTTTAAATGAATTGCTTAAGAACTCTATTTATTTGGGTTTAGGCCCCAAAACTAACAAAAAAAGAAGATTTGAAAAGTTTTTGTTCTAACTTTTCTTTGTTTGGTTTTGGGTTATACCATGGTGATGCCTGCAAGCCACTTCTGACACTTCACTGGGAGCCTTGTGGTACCAGGATTGATCCCAGGCTTCATGCATACAGAACATTACTCCAGCCTTATGTATGATATATCTCTTGGGCCCCTGTTTTGTTTAATTTTCAGTTATATTTATTCTCTTAGTAGGGAAATAAGGAGGTTTGTGGGGAAAAAAAACAACTGGAAACTAGGGATTGAGAGATGAGAAAAATTACTATTGATGTAGTCTATTTTTAGTATACTTATTACATTTTACTAACTTTACCCTGAGTTTGAAATAGAAGAGATGGGTTCTAAAGGATCTGAGTTTTAATTCATATGCCTGTGATAAAACCTTACAGTCACTCTTTTCAGGCCCATTTTCTTTGCTTCCCTAGATTTTGTATCTGATGTAAATACTATTATTTTAATGTGATCTCAGTGTTTGAAATTGTTACATGCTTTACTGTGATATTTAAGTGGTTGGTCCTTTGAACTTTTTCTTCAAAACATCTCCATCATACATACCACTGATAACTTTTACTAGGTACTTTTAAGGAACTATGGCAACTCCTTTGAAAATGAATCAGATTTTTATTGCAGGACTATTTCTAGGCACTCAGTGTACACGAATAAGACAGATTTGGGATTTCAAGCCTTTAAAAAAATTTTTTTGCCAGTAATCTATTCTGGTCAGCATTCTGCCCCACTGAAGTAAGTGGTTTAAACGATCAGACTTCAGCTTCAGACCTTTGTTCTAATCTTTTTACCTCATACCGTGTATAAGTGACAGCTTCATGATGCTTCCTTAAAACCTGCTGTAAAGGTTGCTATGTTTAACTGAGATGATGTTTATGAAATGTTTAGCCCTTTGACGGCACTCAGTAAGTGGTAATTATAGCGATAAGATGCTGCCTTTTCTTCCCTTACATCTTGTTTTTTCATGATTTCTTGATCGAATAGGGGATCAAGAGAATCCCCTATTACATCATATAGTTTCATGAGTATTTTATGTACACTTAACTGTGAAACACTATTTCATAGATAATGACAGTGCTTTTAAACAAAGAATTGGTATGTATTTCATTAATAATATTTTAAATTTTTATTATTGAATTTTGCCTTAGTCTTTAATTTTCTTTGATTTTCAGAATTAACCTTATGAAAAAGTTTGAAAATAAGAAAATTATTTAATTCCTACAAAAATGAAAGTAAAGGAAAATGTATATTAAGTTGGTCTTATTTACTTAGGAAAGGCTGAAATGAACAGCTGTGTTAATAGTGGGAAAAATTCTGTTTCACCGAACATGTTTAGAAAATTTTACTATTAAACTTACGCATGTGAATATCATACTGTTAAAATTGTCGGCATATCTGACCTTCACATATGAAATATTTTTGAAAAGCACAGCAAATATATGATTCTTTGTCCTTAAAAAAAATAATCTTTTCTGATCTAAGGATTAATCTACAAATACTGTAAAATTAACTTAAATTGAGCATGGCAATGAGAGATAATGTTGAAAAACCTGATCTATATACATTTATTTAATCTTAGATCAGTAATGTGGTTATAAATTTTAAAACTGTACATTTAAACCTTTCATTTTTCTAAAGTGTCTCAATGACCATTGTCTGCTCTAAAATTTATTTGCATTTTGTTGTATTTATAAAAATTGCCTGTTATCTTTTTGTTGTTTATAACATTTCTATTTCTTTAAAAGCATTATTTTTCTTGTCTTTATATGCTCACGTTAGAGTCTCTGCTTTATATGTTATTTTTCTTTCTTGCATGTCATCCATTAAAGATTAGCTGTGGAAGGTTGGAGCATGGAGAGATTATGAATGACAGAACAACTCCTGTAGAATAATAATCAGTTTTTGGTATTTAATGCTGTTTGACTTTTGCAGACACATTTCTTATTAACCTTTGGTACAAAGAGAAATCCAGGTTCCTGATATCTCATGGAGAAGATGAATCTGAGATCCTCTTCCAATTAAACTGAAATAAGGACAATATTGGGTTTTAGCCAAAATAACACCTTAGTTCCTAAATCCTGTGTTTATAAATCTATCTATATCAATCAATCTATCTTAGTTGCGTTTCACATATGATTTTGTAGTTACATACTTTGCCTAATTTGCTGCACTGATTCTGCAAGCTTTTAATCTGCTTTTTCTCTTTAAACATTAATAATTTTCCTTGCACCCAAAAAGGACTTATACTTTACTTTGGTAAAAGAAAATATTATTAAGTTCTTCCTATTATAGAGAATATTCATTTACTTTTTAGAGGAGAGGAGTTTAATTGTTACTACACAACCCATCAAAACATTTCTGAAACTTACTATTCTATTCAGGTTAATATGTAAAGGCTAAAAGCCTGGATATGTAATCTATCATTGTATCAAATGTATAGACACCCTAATCTACTAACACATAAAATAAAAATTACTGTGTATAGAAAAATTTTGCACTCTTTTCTTGCAAAACTATTTTTTAAGGTAAGAAGAATTTTATTTTTTCAATGTAGGAGTATTGCTAACTTGCAAAACTATTATTGTTACTATATACCATGTCTCAAATGATGCTGACCGTCTAATAAAAACAAGAGTGACTGAGTTTTATATATCAGACAATATACTGTGAGAATTTTTAAAACTTGTATGTCTTTTTAAAGTTTTAAATCATGAGATTATGTTTCTATATGTCTATGTGTCTATATCAGTATAAATTTAGAGAGTAAAAATATTTTACTTCATATTTAGCTGAAAGGAACATCTCTATTAAATACAGAAAATATAAATAATTGATAGGAAGAATGTTTATTTAAATTATCTCTTTTGACTAGAGCATCCTATGCATTTGAATCAAGATTAATTACATTAACACATTAAAATTATGTTTGAGCATAGAGTATGACCAATTTTATAACCTGTGTCTATAGATTACTCATGATTTCCTAAAAAAAATTGAACAAGCAGAAACCAATATGCATGACAGTAAATCAACTATTAAAATTATTTTAGTAGAT